TTGCATGACTTATTTTTTACTTAGAGAATGTTGATTGATCTTGGAAGAAGTTGATATTTTTTTAATTGAATCTGCTATGGCTTCTGAGCTTGTCTAAATTACTAGATCACACAATTACTTTATCACAATTATTGCTCTCATTTTAATGACAACAACAATAACAATTAGGAGTGCCTCCTAGTTGCCAGTGGGTGACAGTACTGTGAACTTTACTTGCATGTTCTTAGTTATTACTTTTAAACAGATCTATGTCTCCCCCCAATTTAACAAGTAGAATAAAGGAGACTCTATGATCAGTGATTTGCCTTAGATCAGATACTATTAGATGGTGCTAACTGATTCAGATCATTTCTACCACGTATTCTTCCATGAAAAGGTGATTGAAAAGAAATGCCAACTGTGTACTGGTGGCCAGTAGACAGACTTACAGAATGTGCCCTTGGAGTTTTAAAATGACTATATATTCCTGAGTATTTTTGTGTACATCACAAAAGAAAAACCAAGGGAATAGAAGTAAATACTGTTGAATGGTGATGCATGGAGGGGATTGTAATCATTGCAATGATATAAAATATGACAGGATAGTACAAAACTGATATTCTCCCATGGTAAACTATCACTCAATGCACAATAAAAACTTTAAAAAAGAAAATAAATGCCAAGAACACATATATATTTTTAAGTTTTGCATAGGCCTTATACCTAAAATAAAGTTGTCCCAATGTGAAAAAAATTTATCCCGTTTTTTTAAAAAAATAATTTTTCATTTCCTTTATAATAACAGTTTATATTCTCAAAAACAAAATGCCATGTGGTTGAATATTCCTACTTCTCAGAGCTTTTGTTTCACTTTGAAAAGAAAATATTAAAATGGATGAAATCACCACTATTGACTTCTGGAACCTCAAGGGCACATCATTGTGGGTGTGGAGCTGCTCAGTGCACAATAGAAAATTGTTTTATTGAGGTAAAAAGAAAAACAAAAAATCTTGTTAACATTAAAGGAAGAGACTTGGTATGTTTATTGTAATTATCTGTTCTAAAAGTTTGAGGTGTATCTGAGGATAAACTGAATATCTATCTCTAATATTAGAATTTATACCAAATATATTCTGGAGGTAGCTAAATAAACAATGATAACTGGGCAAATGACACTTTCCTCCTCTACAACAAAAACATGCCAGTGATACTTCAGTTACAAGGTTTTATTATCAAGAGTGCTTTATGATTTCCTAAGGACTACTTACTTTGGTAAGGAGCTCTGGTAGCGTGGTGGTTACAAATTGGGCTGCGAACCAAAGGTCAGCAGTTCAAAACTACCAGCTGTTCCCTGGGAGAAACATGAGGCATTCTGCTCAGGTACAGATTTACAGCCACCATCTACTTTGGTAGTACTGGTGTGCCACTAAGGAGTCCTGGTGTGGCCCTGTGTGTTAATGCACCAGACTGCAAAGCCGTTTGAACTGCAAGGTCGGCAGTTCAAGCTCACCAGCTGCTTCTTGGAAATCCTATACAGGACCACTATGGGTCGGAATCGACTCTACTGCACTTGACAACAACAATCTACTTTGGAGTTAAGGTGTGATGCTGTAGGATAAGCACTGCATTGTTAACCACAAGGTCTGCGATTTAAACCCACCAGCCACTCCTCGGAAACTTGTATCAGGGTCATCGTGAATCAGAATTGACTCAAAGGCACGTAGCAAAAACAACCTACTTTCATTAGTCCCTGGATGATGCTCACTTAGCTGCTAACCAAAAAGATGGCAGATGGAGTTCACCCAAAGACTCTCTTTAAGATAATGATCTATTTATGAAAAATCAGCAGCTGAAAATCTTGTTGACTTCAGTTCTTTCTACTTGGATACTCATGGAATCTCCATGAGTTGAAACCGACTGAAGGTAACTGGTGGTTTGACCTATTTTGAAGATGGTGCTGTAGGATCAGCACTAGATTGTGAACCACAAGGTTGGCAGTTCAAACCCACTAACTGTTCCTCGGAAACCCTATACAGAGTCACTGTGAGTTAGAAATGACTCAACAGCACTTAGCAACAACAACAACAATATTCAAAAATACATAAGGAATGTGGGCAGTGATAGAAGAGAGGTTTTCTATTTCTTCTGAATGCTCAAGTGTTGAAAAATATTGTATACTATTTGTAAATTAATAAAATTTACTTGTATAGAGTTAGGGTAGGGAGAAAGTTACAAGTTGGAAAATGTAATTAGTTATTTATTGATACGTCAATTCACAATTTTTTTCATAATTTCTTTTGCTTAAATATTTTATTT